GGCGTAATTTTACGTCTGCACCGGCGTAATTTTACGTCTGCACGAGCGTAATTAATGCCTACACACCCGTAAACTACACATGGATACTTTGGTTAGGTTGGCTCACCATATAGAGGGGGGCATTTTCACGCGTACAGGATTGGCATCAGGCCTAAGACTTGGTGGAGCAGTCCCTCCTGAAGCAGCCTTCAATTGGTCAGATTCTTCCATGGAAGTATCTCCCTCCCCACTGGGTGATTGGTTCAATTTTAATCTACACGCTCGCCGGTGCCTAGCATAGAACATGTCCACAATCCTCTGGGGGGGGGTCACTCCAAGAACATTATGTCATATGTAAATAAGGAACTACAATTTTTGTACACTGAGACTTCATAAATGATTCTTTTAAATGTTTCTTATATCCTAGTTTTGTTTGTATAGGAGGTTCCTAACTGCGTTTCTTAAAATTTCCTTCTCGCACCGAGACCACCTGAGGTCTTGTTCTGGGAGGCGGACCTCATCTTCTAATGCCTTGCATGCCTGACTTCATTTGGGAGGGCCTCCCTTAGTTTTTGTTGGTTTCTCCTTGGTTTTATTGCTGCTCTTCTTTTCCTTATCTCTGCTTTCTTTTCTTCCGTATACGGCTCCAATAGGAGCCGCATCTCATGTCTGGAGGCTGTAATCAATGTCTCATCTGAGGGCAGCCGAAGTGGGTTGAAAACTGGCATAGGATCATCAATAAACCATCAATAAAGGGACCATATTCAAGAACCCATCCATACTATAAAAATAAAAATCATTCCCACGATAGCTGGTTATCTGAATGTTACCTTTCTTATCTAACTAGCTAACTAAGTTTGACCACCTGTTATGTATAATTTGTATAACTAGCTCCCAATTGTCAGCGTCACTAACACCTCATAAGTTTCATACTGTCTATCAATGTGTTCTAGTCATTTTGGTTTCCTTTATTCTAATTGTTCACTCAATTACTGTCAATCCTCTCTTCTTAAGTATTAAACTACACTCTTGATACCAGTTTGTCATTTTGGTTGTTTGTTTGTTTTCTTTTTGATTTGTGTTGTTTTTATTAATTTGTTTGTTAAAGACATTGGTATCGCCGCCATCAGTCTTTGTTAGGCAGGTGTTATTGCAACGAAACCAGTAGCTGCGACCAAAAGCCTCGCAGTTTGCCCCTTCTGGCCATTCAAGGATCACACTCATTGAATTGTCCAGGAGGTGTTCATAATCACAAAGCGGTCCACTTGCCATCAGCCAATGGTTACCTTCTTGCTTCATTGGAGTTTTGTGTTTGCGATTAAGTGGATTCCGCCTTTGACATAATTCACATCCATCTACCCAACAAGCCACATCTGCCTTGATCCCAACCCAATAGTACTTGTTACGAAGCCTTCCGACTGACTTATTTACACCAAAATGACCAATTAGTTACACCAATTTGCCAATTAGTTACACCCAAATCAGTTTCAACCCACTTTCTTTACAAAATTCCCTTCTCAAATTTCATCCTGTCCCACTGTGCTCAATATTGCTTCAAGGTAAGTGACTTATTTGAAATTTCAAACCACTCAGGCCTAACCCCATCGTATGTTAAGCTACACGTTTGAAAAGCATGTACGTGAACGTAAACCTCGAATTTTGCGTAATCTGGCTCAGGTTATTCAACCTTTGCAAAATTGCGTTTGTGGAAGATTTGTTGTGAGTATATTTCTGTTTGTTCTGTTATTAGTACACAACGGATTGAAAAAAACGTTTAAAGCGTGAAAATCAAACATTAAAGTACTCTAATTTTCATTTGACTCCATGGGACTCTATCGGATTTTACAACATCTTGCCCCATCGGGTCCCATGAGGTCCCATGTTGGACTAGATGGGGCAAAATCCCACGGAGTCCTATCAAGCCCCTTCGAGAATGAACATGTTTATTCTTTGGATGGAGCATCTTGGGATTTTCGATCATACTAAAATGACGTGTCATGTGAAGCCCAACATACATCAATAGGACACGGTAGATGTTGATGGAACTCCATAGGACTCGATGGGGCAAAGTCAACGAAGTCCTATGGGAATCCGTTGGATTCGATTGGGCAATTTGGGATTCGATTGGGCAAATTTGGACTCGATGGGGCAAGTGGGATTTTTCCCCATTGGTGTGTGTTTGGCTAATTGAAAAGTAAGATCTGTTTTCAGGAATGTTTAGCCTCTAAATTATCTATTTTATCGGACATTTAAGTAATGATCATCCTGCTTTTTCAGTAAAATTGGTGCCACTGCTATACTGACTGATGACAAAGACCTTTGATTATTATCTAAAGCCAATTCGGGGGTTCCCCAGGGGTCCATCTTAGGACCTTTGCTATTTTTAGTTTACATAAACGATTTACCTGATGATATTTTAAGCAAGTGTTTTCTGTATGCAGATGACACTTCTCTTTATCAGCCCTTCAGCCATGATAATATGCCTGAATGTATAAACACCCTCCAATCTGATCTAAATTCTATAAACAATTGGTCTAATAAATGGCAATTAAAATTCAAACCCTCTAAAAGTGATGATTTGACATTTAGTAGTCCAAAAATGAATGAAATAATAACCCCTGACCTAAAATTGGGAAATGAATCCATACCTAGGTGTGTTTCACATAAACACCTTGGCTTTATCTTTGACTCTAAATTATCTTTCAATTTCCACATTACCCATCTTGCAAAGAAAATTGATAAGCTTTTAAATCCACTTAAAGCATTAAGTAAAAAACTTAGTGGAAACCATCTAAATCTTATGTTCAAATCTTTTATCTTACCACATTTTGATTTCTGCGACATCCTCTATGGATGTGCAGATATTTCCAAATTAAAACGCATTGACCAACTCTACTACAAGGCAGCTCTGATTTGTAGTGGAACTATTCATGGGTCATCTTCTGAAAAGGTGCTCAATATTCTAAATTGGCCTAAACTAGAGACGAGGAGGAAGTTTCATAGACTAACCCTCATGTTCAATGTCCAAAATCAGAAAGTTCCTTCATATGTTCAAAACATATTTGATAAATATAAGAGACAACAACCTCCTCTCTATTTGAGAAATCCAACTGAATTCGTCTTGCCCGCTAAAAGATCTGTGATATTAAAGAAAACATGCATTTTTACAGCTATCTCAGAATGGAATAAACTAACCCAACAACTCCAAGAAATAGACAACTTAAGTACTTTCAAATCTAAATTGACACTTCTCATTTATCCAGAACCTATCATATCATCTACCTCATTGCATTTACCTAGACTAGAGGAAATCAGTCTTAATAGGACTAGAGTCGACTTGATTTTTCAATCTCATTTTCATGCCCACAACTTTACTCTAGCTGATACACCAAAATGTAAGTGTGGATTCAAAAGTGAAACATCCAAGCATGTCATCTTTAACTGCAGACTCCGTAGGACCCTCCTAACTGACTTCGAAATTAAACTAAATAACCTTGAAATCCAATATAAAAAGAATTTTAAGACCCAACAAGAGAAATTGAATTTCTTTCTTTTTGGCAGCTCAAAATTTAACTACGCTACAAACATAACTGTTCTTGAAACTAGTGCCTCTTTTCTCCAGAAGTGTGTAAGTGTCTGAGTGTTAGCAGCAATTATCAAACCATCTATGCTTAATTTATTCACCAATTTGCTTCACCAAATGGATTGTTTTTTTAAAATAAATTTTGTTAATTAACCCTGCGACTTATAATGTTAAACCAAGTCGCCTTTTTGGAAATTTTCTTTTAACATATATTATTGTATTAAATAAAACATGATAAATAAAAAAAAATCAAAAAAATCTAAAGCCATGGCTGAACAAGTTAAATCTACAAATCTCTTGTCGTACAAACTGGATTTGAACAAAATTAATGATGGAGAGTGCACACGATTGTTCCGGTTTAAGCGCGACGATCTCTATACTCTCAGAGATCTTCTTCGTATACCTGATTATTTTGTTGGATACAACAGATCGGTTTGTCCAGGGATGGCTGGGTTGTGCCTGTTATTACGCCGTCTTGCTTATCCCAACTGATTAATGGACTCTTCTGTATTGTTTGGTCTCCAGCAAGAACCTACCAGCATCTTTTTCAACCAGGTATTAGATCACATCTACGATAATTTTGCGCACTTACTTTCCGTTTATAGATGGCATGGCGAGGCCAATCACTAGGCCCGGTGAAGGCCAAAGATTTTTTTACAGTGGCCATAAAAGATGCCATGCCCTGAAGTTTCAATCCGTAGCAACTCCAAATGGGTTGGTGGCAAATATGTATGGCCCCTTAGAGGGCCATAGGCATGATTCAGGCATGCTCTTCGAAAGTGGTTTGCTACAACAATTAGATACATTTAACAAACCGGATGGGTCTCCAATGGTGGTCTATAGTGATCCGGCATACCCACTACGTGCTCATCTCTGTGCGCCATTTCATGGAGGAAACTTAGACGATGATGAAAAGGCGTTCAACAAAGCAATGTCAAAAACAAGAACTTCTGTCGAATGGATTTTTGGGAATATAGTTAACAACTGGGCATTTTTGGACTTCAAAAAAAATCAAAAACTTCTGTTGCAACCAGTTGGGAAGTGTTACTTGGTGGGAACTTTGCTTACAAACATTCATACTTGCTTATATGGAAACCAGGTCTCTCAGTACTTTAACGTTGAGCCTCTTACAATCCAAGATTATTTAAATCCATGAACCTAATGTGCTTTTCTGAATAATGACACAAATGCAACAAATGTAGAAAGCTTAACACGTTATATATAGATATATATTGAAACAACGATATATAAAATGCACATTTTCCTCAATGCACATTTTGTCCATTGTAGTAGTATAAAAAATAAATAATATCCTTCATTCATGTTTAATACTCTATTGTTTGTATAATGGGAACGAATGCAGAAAGTGTAACATGTAATACGTATTGATACAATTATAAAAATGCACATTTTGTTCAATGTCCATGAGTATTTGTCATTGTAGTTCTATAAAAATTAAACACAAAATATAACATCATTATGTTTACAATACTCGATTGTTTGAATGCTGAGAACGAATGCAGAAAGTGTAACATGTAATACGCATTGAAACAAAAATATAAAAATGCACATTTTGTTCAATGTCCATTAGTCAATCAATGTCGATTGTAGTAGTATAAAATTAAACAATAAACAATAATAATGTGCAATACTTGATATGGTATCATACATAGAACTGGACGAATATAATACACTCATATATAAGTCTACAACTTTTTCTTCAATAGTTCTAACATCATCCTTTCTCTCTCCATCTGCTGCTCCCTTTCCCTCTTTTCAACCTCCCAACTTCCTCTCTCCAGTTTCAGTTTTTCTTTATCATTTTCAACTTTAGCGCTTAGGTAATCGCTCAGGAAATGATCTGGAAATATAGATATAGAAACTTAATGGTTATTTTCTATTTTGATTTACAATCAAAAATAGTAAGCCTTACAGTCGGTCTGTCACGTTTCTTAACTAGACGGTCAAAAAGGGGAAGATAAGGTACAGTATAGTAATGTAAATGAGATACGAATAGTGACAATACCTATGCGGCTAGCATTTCGTCTGGTTTTCTTTTCTGGCACCCCAGAGCCTGCATTGCTAGTATCTGTCTCGCCTTCATTAGATGATCCAGGTTTACTCTTCAGTGGAGAAGTTGACTTCATTCGTTTCATTGCTTCTTTTCGCAATTTCTTGGCTATTTCTGCTTCTTTCACTTTTTTCTCTGTTGTCTTTGACCTCTTTGGCTAAGTGACAATATATTTGTTTTGATTTGACATCCGGGTTATCAGAGATGACGGTATGTCTGCCCCCCCCCCTTCAAAAGAATTTTTTTTTAATCTTTTTCATTCCAGTCAGGGTCCTCTTTTGGACACATCTATGGGATCTTGGCACAGACATACTCTCTTTGAAAATAAAAACAATAGAGACATAGGTACTTTTCATTTGACCCAGAAAACCCATAGAGATGCAAAGAAATGCATAATCTCCATCAACGAAAACACACAATTTTTGACCCTTCCATGACGTTTCAGACAAGATGTCAATGTCACTAGATTGGAGCTCTAATATCAATTTATTGTTTTCATACATATCTGGAGCGGGTGAGATAGTAAAATGTACAATTATATGACAGGTGTATCATCCCTTTGACTAAACTGAACTACCCTAAAAGGAAGTGATTCTTTGCAAGATAGCAAATTGTATGGAAATGCATCATTACATAAACATCAATACACGCCTTACCATCAACAAGGTACAGTCACGTGACCGTGACAAAATATACCGTAGTACACTTTTGATGTACTATGTCACCATTAACTGATTTTAAGCAAAGACTATGATGTAGGTTTGATGCAGGTTTTCAAAAATAAATATGAGGAATACATAAAGCATTTCATGTTTGATTTCGCGTGTATTCGATTTCAAAGACATTTATTTTTCTAATTACGTTAAAAGATCTTCGAGCAATGCTCGATTTTTTTCGTTGTAAGTCTACCCATACAATTGTTCGGTTGGAAAAATGTTGTTTCTTACACATTTCCTTTGATAATTTTCTCCACTGACGTCTCAGAGTGTCAAATATTTTTATGAGAATGTGTTTCTCTAAACTACACAGTTTAAGACGGGTGGAGATTTAATAAATATTCATGCATTTGGTATAATTTAAAAAATCAGAAATGTACGTTGTCAACTCACAGTGTATGTTGTCCCTGTAATTGAAATTCAACGAACATGCTCCTGTATCCCTAGTACAGATAAACAGGTAAAAGTGATTTTTTCGTTGAATGCTATTTTATTTTATGAAAGTTTTAATATGGTGATTAATATGCGACCATGGCGTGTTATTTTCCGACCTCTTTGACCACTCGGCGTCGGTACGTTACGTTATGTTTAGTTGCATGGAGAGATCTATACTAGCTAGTCCAAGATGACTTTCAAAATTTATGCTACAGGGTGTCCCGAAAGTATGGGCCCCCTAGGCAGACATATACCAATGTCTCCATAGTATGTGTGATATATCATTTTAAAGCTCATCCAAAGTTACATTAATTTGCCGAGTATCATGGTTCAACTATCAAATGGAAAAAAGTTACAGGAATTTCAAAAGTTAGTGTTTGGCCAAAATTAAAGTCAGTTTTACACCAAAACAATAGTCAATGTGTCTCCTTAGCCACCATGTTAACAGCAGCAATACTTTCCATATATGACCATATTATGTTATCCTCATAAAACCCTTTTAAGGCACCAGAAGAGTTTCCTTGGAGTATCTACCCTAAACGTCATCTTTTTAAAACTCAATATCCTTCCTATATTCGAGAATCAATATATTCTGTCACATTCAGGTCAGGGCTGTTTCCAGGATACTGAAATCTTTTTGGCAAAACACTAATTTTTAAAATGCCTGTTACTTTTTACCATTTGAACCATCATATGTAACTTTGGATAAGCTTAAAAATGATATATGACACATACGGTACAACTCTGGAGAAATTGGTATATGTCTGCCTAGGGGGGGGGGGGCATACTTTGGGACACTCTGTATATCTGGAAAGTGCAGAAGTTCAAAAGCCAGGTTATGGAGCACAAAAAAGAATTAGTAACATTGAAATTTAATCATATCAATGACAATTTTATGGATTAACGGACAAAATATTAGAGTAAATATATCTGATATGCCTATCATTATTATTACTTTATTATCAAATATGTTCCTTCTATTACACGTACATTATAGCATTTCATTCACTGTAAAATTAACTGTGAATTGAGATCTGTAAGGCAAATGTGACAACATACATTCGAGTTGACAACATACATTATCTATTTTTCGTACTAGCATCCAAAGTAAAAAGCGGTTTTGCATTAACTCTGGATGTATATTTGTATACTTATCTTAAGTTGTGTTAGTCGTAGTTTGGCTGTTATTTGCATAGCTAAACAAAAAATAGAGAGAATTTTGCGAAATTCAGTCAGGATTTAGAGATCCCTGACGTACTGGGTAGATCTATAACAAGATATTGAAGTTGCTGAGGATCATTTGAAGTAGATATGCACATTTGCAACTTAATTACAAATCGAATGCAACAACTACCTGATGATGAACTGACACAATATTGATCAAATCAATGCTAGTTCTTGCCTCGCTTCCTCATTCTAGAAAATGGCGATCTAAAATGGCGGAAATGACATAGTACATCAAAAGTGTACTACAGTATATTTTGTCACGGTCACGTGACTGTACCTTGTCAATGGTAAGGCGTGCAATATGATAATACAATGTCCTGTATGATATTTATTGGATTAAAAAATGTTTGTGTTTTTCCTGTTCATCAAAAATAATACATCAACAATACTTTTTGTATATTAATGATATTTTGTTTTGAAGTATTGTAGGCAAACAAAGATTCATCAATTCTGTCATCCCATTATAATGTCTCGTCCAATTCATTAACATCAATAGCCGATTTTAACAACATCTGTTCTAATATTTGATTGAATCTTTCTGGAATCAAAATGTATGGTGATTGATAAATATAATATGCTCGAAAAAGGATGTGATAAGCATGTTAAGAATGAAGTCAATTTGGTTAATACAAGACAACATCCTGATATTTTGTCTATATAATACTGTAGATTACAATTCTATATAACAATACTATAGCACAAAGTGCTGACAATGTTCCAGTGTGGCTCACCTTTGAGTGTATCTCAAGAAAAGTGAATTAAACTTTCTGAACGTTAATATTTCGCTATAAGCAGTTAAGATCTATATCTTCTGTGAGCTCACACACTTTCTCGCTAAACAGTTAAGATCTATATCTTCTGTGAGCTCACACACTTTCTCACAGATTACTGCAGAAATATCCACCTGTACATTTGGTTGTAAGTAATTGTGGCAGTGATTACCCTGGCACGACCATGATACTTCTGTTGAACTATGCTATGTCGTGCTAGCTTTTTTTGGACATGTTGGACAAGGTACCCCTCCTCAGTTGCTAATTGAACATTTTTTATAACCGTTTTCTCCAGGTTAGTGACCTTTTTATCCCAACGAACGAAGTTCAGTAGGGATATAGTGAAGCCATCCGTCCGTCCCTCCGTCAGTCAGTACGTCCGTCCGTCTGTCCGTTAACTCAAATATTAGTTATCCCAACAAACGAAGCCCTCCGTCCGTCTGTCAGTCCGTCCGGAAGATAACTCAAATACTAGCAGATGGATTTACTTCATATTTAGTGGAAAGATGTATAGTGGTGAATAGTTTTATGCAAGATGGCTGCCGCTTTACAAATGACAGGACTTTTTCGCAAAAATCATAAATTTTTCATTCTCAACCAAAGTAATTAATATTATTATTTGAAATTTTGGTAGTATATTCACAATAGCTATATTATACTCAAATTGAAGGAATTTTCGAGTAGATCACAATTATGGTATTATTTTTCAGATTTGTACCTCAGAAAATTCAAAATGGCTGCTTTGCAGGAATTCGCAATTCTAAAATCTAAATTTTTCAATTTTAACCAAAGTAATGAGTATAATTGATTGGAATTCGGTAATTGATATTTTGTTCGTTGGGATTTGCTACTCCGTGGAGTTGCCGTTATCTAGTTAATCATTGTCTTCATCATCTTACATTTTACATTTGCCAGTTGATTGGTGCCTTTGTTTTTGTTTACATTTGATGTAGTCAAAAAACTAGCTTTCGCCAAGTTCAGTATTTTAACTCAGCAATCTTATCAGCTAAGTGCAGGCCAATGCTATGGTGTTCTGATTCAGTAAGTCCTGATGTTTCTTGATTATCCCTAACAGACAGGGTGGAGCAACCTGACTGATGGGTATATTCCACAGAGGTTTATGGATATTAACATTGTAACATTGTGGAAGTATTTTGCAACATTGTTGCCTTTTCCATTTTTCTGGAATTTTTTTAAATCTTTTTATTCCAGTCAGGGTCCTCTTTTGGACACATCTATGGGATCTTGGTACTCTCTTTGAAAATTAAACAATAGAGACATAGGTACTTTTCATTTGCCCCAGAAAGCCCATAGAGATGCACAGAAATGCATAATCTCCATCAACGAAAACACACAATTTTTTACCCATGTCCATGAGGTATCCCATAAAGGATCCTTTTTCATGACTAAAGACTGACTGGTTCCAAGATCAGGCTGAATGCAATCCTTGACTTTGGCAGGGGACTGACTGGTTCCCATTCTGATACTCAGACCATCTCTGCAATGCACAAGAATTGTCTCATCTAAACTGTCATCTTGTGTGATTTTTTCAAGAGTTATTTTGACATTATCCCTATCTGGGCTGTCAATGATTTCTATACAGCCTGTCATTCCTAAACTGAATAATTTTCCTTCTTCTAGCTGCACTAGCTGTTGCAGTATTTGGCAAAAGTGATTGCACTTCACTGATTCTGCTGAAGCTATCCCTAAATGCCTTGGCTTTGTTGCTAGCTGCTTCATCCCTGAAAGTACAAAATTTGTTAACTTAAAAAAGCACCAGATCATATCATGCAAAATAATGTGGCATTAGCATACAGCGTACATTTTTACTACTTGTAATACCATTATGTATATTTGTAATTAGTAGATTTAAATCTGCTTTATAGAAGAACATGTATTCATGTATTTCAAGGACTCTAGTTATTAGGCAAAAAAAATATTATGGATGATAACATTATTTACAAGGTAGGGAGATCATGTGTAAGCTTACTAGCCTTTAT